TATTCATATCTTGATATTTGTGTCATGGGTACCAGCACAAAATGGCTTCCATGGGCAACAAAACAACAGCTTATGATACTTCATACCTGTGAGTAACATAACTCTACACACACACACATGACTATTGAATAATCTTTATCCCTTCCTTCATTTAAAATGCACCCAGTGCCTAAAATTATGTAAGTGATTATATAGTAATTTTACATTCCCACCATTTGTGTATCTGGCATCTGCAACCTCTGCAATTAGCAGTACTATGCATGTTCTTAAATCTCAAAGACATATAATACCACTGAAAAGAAAATTATCTTGCAAAATTATTCTTTAATTACAACAATTAGAATGACCACCAGGTCTGTACTACAAATATAATTCCAATCTTCCTCTGACAATTTAATTACTACTATTAAAACTCAACATAACTTACTTCTGAGTAAGTATGCATAGGACTGTGCTGTAAAAGTCTTGATCAGGCTACAAATCATCCTATGCTTTCTGTGTGTCCCACTTAACTCAGTGGGGTTTACTTCTGAGTAGACCTTTATAGGATTGTACTGTTATACAATCCCATATGCATTGAAACTGTATCAGTTCCCTTGTTAGCTCGTAATCCCATTGTGCTTTTGCCATCTAGTTATTCCTTATGTATATGTATATAAATGTTTTATTTCAGTTTTGTAATCAGAATGAATAAAAAAATGACAGGAAAAAATACAATACAAAGTCATGCAGGTTATTGGGAAAGTACCTTAAATTTTATCTCTAACTTCTATAACGTATTTTTGTTTTTCCGTTTTCCATTTCTGCCTGAGAAAAGGTTTTGAGGTGGCTCAAGTTGACAAGCTAAACAAAAGAATGGTGAAACTTACTAGGGAATAAAAGTTTCCTCATTTTAATTCAATCTCAGTTGGGAACATGGATGGCCTGTCCTTTGGATTGTTGGGCTACATATTCACAAATGATGCTGAATGCTGAATGGCGAATTATACTCCTCAATATTTGGCTACATAGCCTTAAGTCATCTTCTGGAATTCACTTGGAAAGAACAACAGAGCAAGCAGGAATGTTTGGGGTGAGTCCCAGTCCTTCAATGATTCTGTGAGCATTCATCATACTCATAGAAACATACTTAGGTGCCTTGTAGCCATCCTTTGAATTTCACATTTCTCCAAAATTTGTGATGCAGTTCTCCAGCCATGTAATGTATACAAAAATCCATATACTGCAGTAAAATGCCCCTTAAAAAGCATACATTAGTGAAAATAACATAAAAATGCATTATTTCAGGGGAAATTGCTTGACAAAAAAAATATGTGTATGTTTAGCAAAATTGTGTACAAATTAGGAGAAAAAAATACATTAAAATGCTGACTAATTTTCACAACTCCATTTTTAAAAATTGCAAAATGATGTGCAAATGTGGACAACTGGATATAATAAAGAAAAAACAAGAAACCGAGGAAACTGAAATTAACCATCCCTATTGGCTAATGAGTGTACTCAGTGCATACAACCATCATTTGGGGGTCAGAGTTCACCCAAGTGTTTGTACTTGACTTTCCATGTGTTCACACTGAACACCTGAAGAGGGCTTTAATGTCCAAAGTATGATTTTGGTGGTCTGACTAAAAAGACAAATGAATTGTCTTCATTAGGTAGACGTCCACATGAAGGGTCAGGGGAGATGGAGAGTTGCTCTCTGCAGTGCAGTTGGGAGGCAAGGTGAGGTCAGACTTTGGAGCATTAGAAGCAATGTCTGTTTCATCTTCCACTTTCATCTGTTGGACTGTTACACATTTTCTATCAAGCACGGAACAGAAACATTATTTTTTTTTTAAACAATGGGGCCACAAATAAAGTGGCACTAACAGCACTTGTTAGAATGAAAGCAATCATCAGGAATGAGATTGGGGAACGCAAAAACTGAAGCACCACTAAATCACAAGAAAGAACTGCAGTTAAGCAGAATTACTATCCCTATAAATCACCAGTCATTGTCATTAAGTATCATTTGTCTTAGATCAGTTCCCCAGGAGGCATCCTGATTAAGCTGATTTCCTGAGTAAGCACATCTCGGCTAAGTGCTGTGCACTACACAGTTTGGGGAATTGAATTAGCTTCACTATTTTAAGACATAACTATCAGTTATATGTGGTGACTGAGTGAGCATGGGATGTGGAGTAGAAAATGCAACCCAAAGGTTTGGGGGTAGAATGAGACAGAAGGTGAGAAACTGTTATTGCTTTTGAGAAAGTCTGTTCAGAGGAAAATTTACACTAGTGATGGAGAACCTATGGTTCTCCGGATATTGCTGGGCTACAATTCCAGTCATCCCCAACCAGCATGCTCAAGGGTTAGAGATGATGTAGTCCAGGCATCCCAAGACTCAGCCCTCCAGCTGTTTTGGGACTACAACTCCCATTACCCCTAGCTAACAGGACCAGTGGTCAGGGATGATGGGAATTGTAGTCCCAAAACATCTGGAGGGCTGAGTTTGGGGGTGCCTGATTGTAGTCCAACAACAGATAGAGATCCACAAATTCACAACCCTGATTTACATGAATTCATCATATTCTAGATTAACCAGCAAAGAGGAACATGATGGTTCATTGGCTGTGTTGAAATTGTTGGGTGAGGAGAGACTAATGAGAGTGAACCACTAAGACTGCAACTCTCTGTACATGGAAATGAGTCCCATAGAACACGGTATGCCTTACTTCCAAAGAAATGTGCTTTGGATTGCACAACATTACTGATAGGCCTCAGCTAGGATATCTGTTCTTCTAAAATGTTTTTTTTAAAAAAAATAAATCACAGGATTCAGTACTTGTTCCTATATTAAACATCAGGTGCTTAATAGTTAAGAGAGTAGTTTATCCAGTTGTTATCTGTGCTGCTCTAAAATGGGCAGGTGGATTAATAGACCTTTTATATAGCGTGTTCTCATTAAAGGAGAGCACGTGTTGCGGCTGGGGCCAGGCAAAGCACCCTGTAGTTGCCAGGCAGGACCGAAGGAAGGGGCCTGGCGTGGATTGGTGGTGGTGTTGCTGGGGCAATTTGTATGTTGCCAATTTGGGGGTGGGATCAGAGGATATTTAAGTAAGGCCCACAGCAAGCTGCTTTCTCTTTCGCTGTGGGCATCGGATCACCCGCCTGCCCTCCCTTGTTTGGGCTTGTGCTTTGACCTTGCTATGCCTGTCATGGGGTCGTCCGCATTGTGTGGGGGCCTGGTAGGAATTTTTCCGTTTGGCTGATTAGTGTGTGCCATTTGGTTTTTGCCTACTGCGTAGCAAATCGTCACAACTTGTAAGGTTGGCGGTTAGGCATTGGTTTAAATTGGTTGGTGGAGGGGTATGGATTGGCTGTGCCTGCCCCTCCAGTGCTGCTGCTGCACGGGAATTCCGTTAAAGGAATTCAGGGGCTTACCATCCTTTCGTCCAAACCCCTGGAATCGGGTTTGGGCCACGTAAGCCCCTAGGAGCATGCGGGGAGAAGCTGAGGGTCTGTGTCGCAGCTCCAGTTATCCCTGATCTTGTTCCTCCACACTGGCTCTCGCTGGAATCCGGGAGTCAGTGCTGTCCCCAAGGCGGGGGGGGGGGGACAGATAGTCATAACCAATGCCTAAGCAACCACTCACAATATGTATGTTTAATAAAGTTGTGGCCAAAATTATGCCAAAAAACCTTAAACAAAAATTATGAGTGATGTGTGAGTTATTGGGTAGGGGTGTTTTGGGGGACCTCAGCACGCAACATTTTTTAGTGATATTTTTAGGATGTTGTAAGCTGCCTGGAAATTTTCTTGGAGATACAAAGCGGTATATAAATTACCTAAACAATGACTGAATATTGCATAGCTCACACTTTTCATAAAATGCATTAATGGAGAAATGAAAGGCTAAGTGGTTGTATATTATGAGATATCTATAGATATCTCCAGGTGCACAGAAGGAGAACTTACATTTTAAAAAATGTCAGTTGAGCAAAATGAAAGATTTGCAGTAAGTATTTATAACCCTGCTGGGACCCAAACCTAGAAGACTCAAGTTGCAGCTGCAAATGCCTCATTCTAATGCAGCCCTGCCATAATATATGTGATCACTCCAAACTGTTTGGAAGATTGCAATCTCAGGCAGAATCCTGCAGCACACCAGCTGGAAGTTAACAAACAGAGCCTCCATTCAATCTTTTTCCCCTGCCAAATGAGTTTCTCCATGAGGCCCGATCTGGGAGCAAAGCCAAAGCATGCTCTGATTTCATGAATTATACTACTAGCATTGGCTGCAATCCTATATTATTTTTATGACCCACACTGAAAATTGGTGAAAGCCACCACAAGTAAGAGCTGATTCATGTGATCGGCCAAAGTGCTGAGAGTTTTCTGTGTGATCTGTTGCTGCAGCTATCGCATGATATGTGGCAGCTTCTATGTCTGCCTGTGCCATCACTGATCATTCTTTCCCATTATATCTCAACCTCGCCTTATGAATTAGAGGATGAGCTTATAAGAATTCTCAAGCACTGCAGCTTATCATGTGAAAAGATGGAAGCCCTGTCATGTTAATGATCATTTGAATTTACTCTGGCAGTCTGGTTCTGTTTTTCAGTATCTCTGCAGTGCTGGGGCAGAAAGAGAGGTTTGAACTACACCAGCATACTGTTCAGGTAAATGGGCTGTGTCTGTGCTATAGGAAAGGGATTGTCTATACTGTGTTTGGCACAATTGTGAATTCTGCTTGCTTTCCCCTCCATACTTGTCCCAGAACAGACCCTTCATGTCGCTCCTGCCTAAAGCTGCCTGGTGCAGGGATAGAGCAAGCATCCCATTGCATTTGTGTTGTAAACTCAAGGGGGCTTCTAGACTGTATTTTCAGGTGGGATTCAATCACATGCCTGCAAATTCAGGTTGCACAATTAAAGTTGGTCTGAAAGTGTTGTGCTACAAACCCACTCCTCCCCTCCCAAAAACCCCCAGCCTTTTTGTAATAAGAAATTTGGGGAAGGGATGTAGCTCCGTGGTAGAGCATCTGCCTTGTATGTATCTTGGGTTCAATTCCCACTAGCATCTCCAGGTGGTGTTGAGAGAGATAGCTGCCTGAAACCCTGGAGAGCTGCTGCCAGTCAGTGTAGACAATACTAAGCTAGCTGGACCAAAGTTCTGACTCAGGATAAAACAGCTTCCTATGTTGCTATATAAGCAAAGTGATGGGGAAATACCTGCGAAGGATGGGATAACACACGCAATGCTATATAATCTCCCCACAGACAAATCAGAATGAATATTCAGTAAATATCCAATGTCATCTGCTACCCATTCCCTGCAAACTTTGTGGAAGCAAATGAGGATGAATGCTTTATAAAAAGGTCACCAGAAGCAACCTCAGGATTAAATGCTACACTGTGATATTATGGGCTGGACTTTAAGGTCTACTGCCATTGTGCATTTATTTATAGTACAGTCATACCTCGGGCTGCGAACGCTGCTGGTTGCGCGTTTTGGGGTTGTGAACCACGCCGAACCCAGAAGTACCGGAATGGGTTACTTCCGAGTTTCTGCACTCGTGCATGTGCAGAAGCACAAAATGACATCATGCGCATACACAGAAGCACCGAATTGCATCACGCGCATGCGCAGACGCGGCGCTGTGGGTTGCGAACGTGCCTCCGGCACGGATCACCTTCGCAACCCGAGGTATGACTGTACTTATTTGTGGCCATTTCATCAACAGAGGGAAAGCACAGGCTTAACAGCGTTCACTGTGCCATTATTTTCAGTATGTCATTTCCAGAAGACAGTGGAGAAATGGTGCTTGTTAGAAGGTACAGAAAGCCAAATGCTGTGGGCAGTGATGGGTGCAGACCAGCTTGTTATAGGCTGGGAGTCAGCAGGCACAGATTTTTCTTGAAGTCAAGCAGGATAGTGTATATGTGGGTCCACACAAGCACATCATCTCTGGGATTCAGAAATCTGGTCACTGATGGTTATTCTTGGCCACATCAAGCTTCCAAGGCTGAGCCCACCCAAATCCCTCAACTGGATTTGGATGGGCTCAGCACTTCCACCTCTATTGATGCCCAAATGACCACTTGTCTGAGGTTAAAGGTTAACAATAAACATAAAGTGAACTGTTGATCAACACTGGCTGAGCCGAAAGCACCATTCTTTCGGTCTGGCAAGCAGGAACACTCGCTTGGCACCATCCTGTTTCCTTCAGACAATGATACAATATACTTCAGAAATGTAAATGTGTCGTGTCATAATGAAGAATCACATAGCTTTGGATGTGTCAAGGATTATGACAGCAATTTAAGCTTGAGTATCTCCTCAGAAAATTGCAGAATCCCAAATGCATGCCAAAACTCAACACTGGAAATGCATGCAATTTCTGTCTTTTGTGATGTTTCCCACAAAGAGATTTTCAGAGGGGTTAGCTACACTTGTCTGTTTCAGCAGAAACAGCCAGAGCTGCATGCACAACACATACCCAAAGCACATTTAAAGCACATTACTTCTCTTAAAGAATCCTAGCAAGTAAGAAAATAGGAAATAAACTAAATAAGACATATCCGGGATATATAATCTGTGTGACCACTAAAAGCACCCCCTTTTCTTTTCTTTTAATCTCATCAAGTTCAATAAACCACAAGAGCTTTTCCTAATATGTATCTGATTATCTGCACCTGTCTAAATCTGTCGCTCATCTGTCCAAAGGCAAACCTTTAAGCTATGCAAACAAGTGCAAGGCAGATGTTCAATTTTAGTCTCCCTTTTGCTTTGTTTAGTTTTAATTCTCCAAATTCCAGCTCTAACAACTTATTACAGTGCAAAGAATTCTGTGTTTACTTGTTCGCTTGCGGGTTTACATTCAAATTACAAATTAATTTTGAGGGAGAAATTGTGTCTCCAGTTTAATACCTACATAAATATACAGTGAGATACCTATTTGCCCTCCCAACCTTCATAATTCTACACAGAGGACACAATCCAGACACTAGTTATGCTTTAGCGTTCATGTATGCCTCTTTCCATTTATATTTAGGCAGACTAAAGAAATGTTTTCCAGATTTAGGCTTGCAATTACAAAATAGGTAGGAATATTTGTGTGTGTGTGTGTGTGTGTGTGTGTGTGTGTTAGCATACCCTCCAACATGTATCCGATGAAAATAGGGACATCTTATTCAATAATAATAATAATAATTTTATTATTTATACTCCACTCATCTGACTGGATTTCCCCAGCCACTCTGTGTGGCTTCCAACACCTATAAAAACATAATAAAACACTAAACACTAAAAACTTCCCAATACAAGGCTACCTTCAGATGTCTTCTAAAGGTTGTCTAGCTACTTACAGTATCTCCTTGGCTCGGTGGTTGCATAACTCCATATCCTCCAACATTTCTCCAATGAAAATAGGGGCATCCTAAGGAGAAGTGGGACATTCCGGGATCAAATCAAAAACCGGGACAGCTTCTGTAAATCAGTGACTGTCCCTGGAAAATAGGGACACTTGGAGGGTCTGTGTTAGTGTTATAACCACCACACACACAAAAAGACCACAGGAAAAATAGCATCCTGATTGGATGCTGGAAAATTCATGTCTTATGCTACCATCGATTTGTATAGTAATTTTTGCATCTGTTCACTGCAAACCTCATTAAGTCATCCATGCTTTTATATTTTAACTTTCCCATTCACAATATCTTCACTAGAGCAGTAAAGGGATTAAATTAGCTACTCTCTTGCCTTTAGAAGAGATATTCCACATGATTTCTTGAACTCTAAATAATACAATGGTTAAAGACTTAGGTTTTGGCCTTGCTATCTGCCATGGACTGGCTTGATGTACAGGAGTGGTGGGAGGCACCAGTTGGGGAACCCCCAAGGGGAAAAGGCTCAGAGCCAGAGGATCGGTGGTGGGACGACAATGTGTGGTCAGAGGGAGAAGAGGGTGTAGACTCAGAGGAGGAGGTGTCAGAAGCGGAAGAGGCAACAGGGTTTAGTGAGCAGGAAGAGGCTGTGGCAGAGGGCAGTCCAGAATCAGAAGCAAAATAAGTCAGGGGGTATCCCCTGACAACTATGACCAGCTCACTTCCCTTCTGGTTTGCCATGACCAGTAGAGGTATGAAGAGGGTGGAGCAGAGATAGACATATCAACAGAGTCTCAAATTGCTTGTGAAAAACCTGGGTCAGGAAGAGGCTTAGGGAACTGTGGGAAGGCGGGGACCTTCAGTCCTCCCAACTGCCTCATTGGGGAAAGATCTACCAGGAAGAGTTGCTATGATCACTAGGCTTTGCCTCCTGGGCTGTTTGTTTCTTTGAATAAAGGGTTAACTTCACTGGCACCGTGTAAGTTATTTCTGACCTGCCCCTGGCACCTGTCCCTGACACGACCATTATTTCAAGGAGCAAATCAATATACTTTATTGAAGCCAGTAATAATCCATTTCCCGGGAGCAGCCCAGATGCATATCACATTCTTATGGAGAAGAGATCCTTTGTTAACTTTGAAAAACTAGTATGATAGTGTTTGGGAGGTTGTGCATGTAGACAAAGACAACAGAGTAGTTGGAGGAGACATTGCTAGAGATACATTTTATGATAACCAGTCTCCCTTCATTTCTTTCATTAATTCCTCACCAGAAGAGCATAAACTAACTTCTGTTCACTTTTCTTTTGCGGGGGGGGGGGGGGAGGGGGGTATGTTATCCTGAACTTTATCTTGATATTCTGACTTACTTACATATCATGTCGCTGGCTCTTTCCAAGGTTTAAAGACGTTTCCAAGTCTGCTTTTCTAATCAAGCCTATATGTTTTGTATTTTTAAATATATATTTTCAACACCCTTCTCCATGCAGTAGAATCCCTATGAACCCTTCTCAGAATTATTATTTTTAAGTACATTGATAGTCCTGCACACTACACATCATTTAATGTAATGTGTAGTTTGACTCTACTTAAACCTGCTATTGACTCTATCAGTTGTGATGGGAAGCTTAATAAGAACAGGAAACAGCTGTATGGGGAAAGGATCGTTCAAGGAGTTTACTTAGCATAGGCTCTCTAAGTATCATTCCCTGCATAAAAGTAGTCGTGGAAAAAGGGGAGGGAGAAGACCATTGAGAAGCTAATTTAAAATGGTTAAGGAGTATATAGCTAATGGAAAATCTTAGGAAAGCAAAAGGAAATTGCACACCTGTGAAATTCTGTGTGCCATAATGAATTGCTTAAAGGAAATCTATAACAACAGACTTTAAAACTAGTTCTACCATTGAATAGGATGCCACATTTAAAATTGTATTGAAACGATACATTGTCTGGACCAATGTTTATTAAAATAAAAGAATCCTAGAAAGGGTAGACAAGTGCTTGTTTTGAATGGAAACAGTTTTGCAAGAACCTTTCTCAACATGGTGCTTGGAATTGATTCAGCTTCTAGTTACCAGCCATAGCCAGAGACAGGCCAGTCCATGCATGCACACCTTAGGCTGAACACATGGATGGGGGCATGGCCATTGACCAATAATTATAATTTCACTCTCCCCCAGATGGAAGATAGAGATGGGGGATGAGTGTGTGTGGAAACTAACCTACTGAACAAATATAGAAGTTACTTCTGTTGCTCGAATCACTTTTGCCTCGGGCTCTGCCCACAACTAGCATGCAGTCCCCAGAAGGTTGTCCAGAAAGGAATGCAGCTCTCAGGTTGAAAAAGGTTCCCCATTCTTGGTGACATATACAGGCAGCTCCTGTTTGGAGATCCACATAAGGCCCTACAAATGCTTTCATGCTGGGGCCCATCCATCCCTTGGTCTGGCCCAACTTGTTGCAACAATATTTTAATCAATACCAGCCCAATGCAATTGGGACAGAACAATCAATAAGCACACAGAGATCTCCAACAAAGCTTTAAAAAACCCTTTCCATTATTTGTTTTGCTTCTCTCTGCTGCACAGTTTGATGCTTACTGCATGTTTCCCTCTCTGATCAGTTTGCAATTACTTCACACACTGGTGAAATGAAGAACCTTTCCATTCCCCACCCCCACCCCCAAGACTATGTTAACTAA